TGAAGTTAAGAATGTGTTAGGGTTTCCTTTCAAGCTTTTGCTTAATTTTTGTGTGCACACAGCAGGACCATTTGGATAGATTGGTTGCTAACTTATTCCGTACAAGCGTCCATTCTCTACTTTGTTCTTAAAAGTATATTAACTGGTATGGTGGCAGTTTGATTTGAGGTAAGTTCTTTTGCCAAAACGAAGTCAGGAACCATTGCAAGATGAATATATTTTTTTGATCGTTGTCCAGTTTTTAAACCCTACTCCACTTCAGGTGAACGCTGTATTAAGTTTGCGCGGACGCTTATAACACCGAGAAGGACTTGACATAGAACAAGATTTGATTTTTTCGATCAATTCAAAATCGTCTTCCGATTCGACCTAAGCTTGTCTGTCCGTCTTCCTATTTATTTGTCTGACGTCCGCCCATGTTTTTTTGGTTTTCATCAAAAAATTTCTCTTAGAATGTGATTTATAACAAAACGGTTGCAGAAAAACATAAAATGTTTAAATTTGTGCAGGACTAACGTAAATATTATTGGATGATGTCATTAAACAAGCGAATAACATTAATCAAAACGTAACTTTTAGGAAGAATACATTGCAAGATTGGTTTGTGTCGCTTAGTGCACGTGATTAGGTGAATGAATATTATATCTACGATATTTGCAATTTAAACTTTTGTTGTTGTTATAGTTATTATTTCTCTCTTATAAATAAATATATTGAAAAATAAAACTAAACATATTTGAATATTCTTTAGTTGAAAACTGATCGGGAATAATACCATTTGTTCTTATTTAACAACATAGTTTTACGGCTGCTAATGCTCGTTTTTGGCCTTTAAATTGCTGTTCAATATTTTTTGAAATTAAAACGACTAAAAACAGTCCAGTCGGGTAGGGTCCGGGATTAAATACTCTACACCTTTTCACAATAAGATGTTATACGGAAAGTATTCGAAAAAGTATTCCGATCGTCGTTGGTTCAAAGTATATCAGTGCACCAAACTTCATCGAAATATCTAAAAATTGCGGCCTAGGTAGACACGATAATAAGATGGATAAGAAGGACACACAGGAGGGAAGCTGATAAAACCGTTCTGTATCAATCGGTATAATAGCCTCAACGTTTTCGGGGTGTTGTACACCTCCGCACAATCTTAATATGCCGTAGGGTGTAAAATGAATTTAAATGTACAAACACAGATGGCATTGAGTAAAAACGAAGGTAGCAGCTTTTCTGTTTTCTGAAGAGCATAAAATTGTTGATGCTCTGCGTAGTTCTGCAAGTCCAACAAAATATTTAATTAAGCAATGAGTATATCATCTGGTGCTATCTAAATTTCGTTCTTTCAACTTTCAATTAATTTGTTTACGCTGCTTTTCAACAACTCCGCAGGCAAAGTTTTAGCTATTTTGAAGGTATCTTGATTACGTAAAGGAATTGCATTTGTAAGTCTATCGGGAACACGAATTTTAAGGGACTTTGGACTCCACATGATGTTAATATACTTTTTCCCGATTTCCCGATTATGTTTAATAAATTTATTTAAAAAACCAAAAAAAAAAAAAAAAAATAACCCAAAAGGCAAATACTTTAATTTTTATAAAAAAAATTTTTTTTTTAAAACAAATTATCATCAAATATGGCTTTAAAGAAGAGTTTTCAGTATGAAACCACAGACTCTATTCTCTTAAAATGTATGCATATATATATATATATATATATGTGTATATATGTGGTTAATCCGCAAACACGCAAAAACACATATGTCATCGTATGCATGCTACACTTAGTATGTCGTGTGTGCGTTATTGTATTGTGTAGTCATTATTTCTATTTTATGTATAGTTGTTGTTTAATGTGTTGTGTTTAATGAGGCAATTTATGTAGATATTTATATATACATATATATATATATACTATACGTGTATGCATGCATGCAATGCGTATATTTAAATATAAGCATACATATATATATATATATATATGTGTGTGTGTGAGTGCATGCATTTATTTATTCAATATTTTAGTTTTGTGAATATTTTCATTAATGTTTTTCGCTCAATTAAAGTTAATTTCATATAAATTGTGTCCATTTCCAGATAGCCGGTTAGCGGTGGTATTATACTTATGCATATTTTTTCAGCCATTGAATTGAATTGAAACTTACAAGTCATTGTTTATGCGCAAATGTACATGCACATATTTGGATATGTTGATAGGATGCCATTCAATTCATTAATGCTATTATGTTTAATAAAATCAACAACAGCTTCCATAACAACATTGCAAATATAAGTAAGTAAAATATTTTCATTTTGAAACAAAAATCAAAAAACTTGAATATTAAATAAACCTTTAAGAGCGCATTTTACATTACATTATATAATGAAACATAATAATAAAAAAAAGTTATTTTAAAGATTTAAAAAATTTTGAATCTAATAACAAAAATAAAATTTGTCCTTCTATTTAAAGCATGATATAAGGCGAACATGAGCTCAATATTTTTTTTATTACATAAAATGTAAACTAATCTAAAATTTGAGTGGTTGTAATTAGGTGTAATTAGTGTTAACAATAATTACGCTGCCTGACCATAACAATTGTAGCTTAGAAGTTTTTAATATATCCCGAGTAAGAAAAAGACTAAAAACAAAACTGGTTTATTTCGGTTCTTGTCGTTATTCAGTTCCGTTATAAAGCTGTTACCGCATAACGGAAGTGTTCAATTACGTCAATTTATTGACAAAAATAGTCCATTTGACTGCCTCAGGATAGAAGTTCAAGTTAATTGTTAAGGTATGATTTCGTTGAAAAATATATTTTTTTGAATTTGCCACAGTTAGTGGATGTCTTGAAATTATGATTTCAAAAAAGATATTACTCTTGATCTTCGTCCAGAAATGTTAAAGCTATGTAACTTATTTCGGAAAAAAATGACGATGGCTTCAAAAAAAATTATGAAGGGCTGAAAGGAAGCCTGTATAGAGAATGGTGTTAAACTGCGATGCAATTGAGGTGCTAAAGAACAAGCAAGGGCACTGTTGAATTAAGTGCAAGTAGGGACCTGGTTGTGGAAAAGCGATATTTGTTATATATATGACCAGCTTAGGTAGTGATAAATGGAAGAAGGCAGTAGTGTTTACATCCGTTCGACTTAAAAAGAGAGCCATTAAGTACGGTTGGAAAGCTCACGGTTGATATCTTCTTGCAAGGGTGGGCAGAAAGTTCAACCCTACGATGTCCGATGACACACGGGGAGAAGAAACGGCACTCATACCTCACAGAGACTAAGGCTACTCAGAAATTGTATAATAAGATTATACATATGGCATGTCCTTCCCTCTGACAAAGACGAGGCCTATCTATAATAACACCTCAAATATTTAACGTTCCCGTAGTTTTGATAACAACCATTGCCACTACGAAACTTGCGTAATGGGCCATTGCCACTCTTAGGCCGAAGGTGGAAAATTACTTTGACGGCTCCTGTTGCCTGTGTTACCAGAAATAAGAAACAGGAATATGATAGAAGAAGAAATAATGCCAGCCGCTCAATATAACCATTCACTTCTCTAATTCAGGAAATTGCCACAACATATATTTCGATTCTTCGGGGTCCTTCTTGTCTGAAAAATGCATCATTCAGAAATCTGTGACCCATATATTTCGATTCTTCGGGGTCTTTCATGTCTGGAAAATGCATCATTCAGAAATCTGTGACCCATAAGCAGGTAATCCAATTGAAGAGAAAAACTAAAGTGTGGGTATTTCCCCACAAGTGAACCATCGTGGATAAAGTTAAAGGTAACCCCACCATACTCACTACTTCCTTACCGTGATTGCCATGAGCCACGGACATGTTCCGCTAGCAATTTACGCTCCCTATTCATTCTCAATTTGTCGACTACAAGAGCAACCCCTTGTTTACAGACATTAATCAAAAGTGGCGCCTGAAGGTCCATAGGGAATGCGCTCATCATTGTTTATTGGTTGTTCAATACTTCCTCTATGCAATAAGAGACAACATTGGGTTTTGATGCCGCTAAAGTTTACCCTGATAGGTTTCTTCCATTCTGTGATTTTTGTGGGGCCTTGATTTAATGTGTCATTCACCATGCAGTTACTCGATGAAAGAGAACGACGCACAAAAGAAAGAGAGACATTCACTGACATCTACTAATGTCTAAATAGTGTTTCCTGCAGATACTTGTGCCACTTCTGAATTTAAGTGGTTTAAGTTAAATTCATTGATTACACTTCGACCGGTTGTTTAGGAAATCGATCGAAATTGTCATTGACACCAGATGCACACACATACGAATGTTTTATTTTTCATAAATCAAAGTCACTCGAATTCGAAACTCGATGGTGTAGGGAACATAATATTATCGCATTAATTGTCTAAATTTTGAGAATGCCAGTTTAAATGGCTGCAGCTTTAACATGCACATCTCTCCGATTTTAGAAGTTGAAATAACTATTTTGTCGAAAAGTTTCTTAATTATGCGTCAGATGCTTTTTGATTTCATTCTCTGATATGTGATCCGTTATTTCTATGCAATTCAGAGAATTACGTATTGCGTGCACATTTGCATTAGTCGTTGATTGAACTAAAATGTAATTCAACTAAATGACTTACAGTACATTTCTAATTACACTCAGCACCATTTGTGGTGGAAACATATCAAGTTTGTGCAGAGTGATTTATTGTATCATTGGATTCGATAGATGATTCTGATTTAAAGATGTCTATCCGTCTGCTTGTATTATGTCTGCCCATGTATTCCTGTTTTCATCTCCTATCGTATATCTTTTATTCAACCAATAAGTCAACCAATGGACGATTTTTACGCCCAGCCCCCACATAAGTGTTAAGAAAGTGTTCATTTTAACAATTTTTTACATATTTAATAGATTTTAAAAAAAATTCTTTTTGAAAAACGGCATTTTGTAATAGCGCATAAATAAATCTATATTAAGAATTTACTAAATTTACTTACCGTCCTTAAGAATGAAACATCATCCTGCTCGCTTCCTCCTTCCGCTTCAGCCATTTATGTTAATTATTGCAAAGATGACCTTAGTTATTTATAAAACGTTGTAAACAACTTCGCCGAGTGCAACTTACAAAAAAAAAAAAAAAAAAAAAAAACAAAAAGAAGAAAAGTAAACGTGGATACAAATATACTCTGCGTCCCACGCAGAGTAAGTTTATTGACCCTGCTGGTTCAATTTGCAGACAATTTGTACGCTGTTCTTGGCTACAAAACGACTGCTAGCAATAAAACTGAAAATATTAGAACGTAATAAAGAGAATGTAAATATAAATATTTAATGATTCGCATGATCTATCACACAAAAAAATCTATACGCGTCCGATATACAAAAACCGTACATATGCTTATAGATAAAGCGGAAATACCAAAATTTTATTGAATGAATTCGTTACCGATAGAAAAACTCACATAGAATATTTGCCAAGTTATTCACAACGTAATTTTAGTGACGCTAGCCAAATGTGCCTGAATATGCAATATATATAAATATATATATATATATATATATATATGTAACAGTTTGAAAGTCATTGCTAGTAAATGGGTTAGCCTTCACATAGAGAGGAACGTATCTCGTGCTACGGGCAAGACATGCTTTGGCAGAATGCCATGAGCACACGTGCCATTTTGGCATTGTGTTAAAAATTTCATTACGCCTCTTGCATGTTAATACGCATGTTTCTCTCTTTCTTATGGGTTTTGTTTTGATTTTTGCATTCATCCAATTTGTTGTGCTATTGCTTTTATTCTAACATATCGTTTCTCATGCATTTGAATGCAGTTTCTCTTTTACAGATGGATACGATGCTCACTCATTTATTTTGCTCTAATTCTCTTTCGGTGTATCTCTCAATAATTGATGAGATACTGAGAAATACAAATAAATTCCACATACTCACCCATACTATATGTTCGTTCATTCTAACAGTTGTATATATGTTTAATAGAGACGTTGACTGTTGGCCTATTGCCAAAATAATTTAATAATGTTTAATTGCTATTTTTGTCTTTGATTTTGACATGAATTTTTAATAGACTAAACCGGCCGATATGTCTATCAGTTTGAAATGGCTAATTGACAAATCAACAAACAAATAAATTATGTTTGTAACAATATAAACAGCATGATTTAAATGGGATTTAAAATTATTTTCAATGCCCTCCTGGTCTTATTTTAATTCAAAAGCACTAAACTTGTATTGTGTTTAATATTAAATCCACGTTACGTATGAGTTACATGAAATAAATATTTAAGAGAAATTTAAAATTTCTTTTCATAGTTGTGCTTGTTTTTGTGTCACTTTTAGCCACTTTCTTATTGTTAATTAAGTTTGTAGTAATTGCCTTCGCGTTGTTACTTAATGTTAGCCTTATTTCCCATCCTCACTTCTATTTTATCCGGCGTTTTTTCCCACACTTTTGCGTTCTACATATAGTGGATTGCGTAGTGAACCTTTGAATGTGAAGAGAATTTCTTCTTTCTAATCGTTAAATACCCTACACCGCTACTCTGAACATAATTGTTTATTTACTCTCGTAATAAAATACAAAAAAATGTGCCCATCAACCTGGCTAGGTCGAGTAACTTTCAGTAGGCGTCCTTTCATCGCCATTTTTGACTTGATAATCATTTCGGCCTTGCGGCACGTATGGATTCACTTAAGCTCCGCCAACTAGTATTTTAAGACTATAAATAAAAGAGTTACTCCGTCCGAGCATGACTAGTGGTTTCGCTAAGTTTTGCATCAAAAAATGACGACTAATTCTTTCACGGTTTAGAAATTCAGTGACAGGTATCACTATTAACATCTGTCAAACAGTCCATCGTCTTCAGATTTTAAACTCAAACTTTATAAGATGAGTACTTTCCATTCAGGTAACAACGGTAATCTGCTTTACGATATTCTTATCTCACGTCTCAAATCATAAAGCATGCCAAAGATTCTTAATACACGTTTTGTAAAGCTTTTGTAAAACTTATAATATTGATCAACAATTGTTTCATAAAATTGCATTAGTTGCGTTGTTTCATACGGTATCTAAGTGTGTGTATTAAAAGTAATAATTCTCCTCTTCTTATTTTCACTATCGAACTTACGGCTACATTTATTATCATTTTTTTATCTTTCAACAAAGTTTTCAATTTAATATAGACGTTTATAGAAATTTGCATTCGGTTACAATAATTTTAGAGACGTTCTGATCGAATTCTGCTTTATTTCCCAACAAATCGCAAAAATTCTCCGAATATTATGGCTCTCCGAAGTGTAGACATTGCAGATATTTGACAAGTCTAATAAATCATGTAAAACGGGAATTGGATGTATGTGAAAAGTATGATGATTGATAACATGGAATACAAAATAACTTACAGCCGGTCACACGAAAGCGATTAGAATAACAAAGAAAGAGGATAAGTGAACGAAATGCAAACTGCTGGAGGGTTTACCATTAAGGCTATTAGTTAAATTCGTAAACCGTTAAAAAAGCGGCCAAGAAAGGAACGAAAGAAAAGCTTTTGAATTCAACAATCACTAAGCAGATCCATTACAATACGCGCGCAGCCAACCAAAAAATAGAGCTTGCTATTTTACCATGCCGGTTAATAATCCTCAGGGCTGACAAATAAATATAGTCTCTAACAAAAAATGCATAGTAGTTTTAGAAAGTGCCAACTTTCGATACAGGCCTCGCAAAATTTGATGTAATTTCGATCATTTGCTTACGAGTTTCCGTAGTTTTAGTGACAATACTTTTGTTTTTTCAAAACAATGCAAAAGTTGGAATTTCGCGCGTTGCACTTAATGAGAATGAATACCATTCAAGCTGTTATATAATACTCTCATCTAGAACTTCTAAGTGAAACCAATATCAAAGCCGATTAAGTTCTATTTGTATGGAGCATCCTCCTATACTTATAACAAGAAGATATTCGCTGATAGTGCGCAGATGGGCCGCAAGGCAAATACGGAAATGATCACCACATTAGAAATGATAAAGAAAATCCACACAATGTTATTAGATGATCGTTTACTGAACGTGGTGTGGCCAATCTAAGCTAATAGGCATTTGAAAACTTGCTGTGATGTGGTTATAAATTGGGCCATGAGAACATCTAGGTGTAAGGTACATTCCGCATTTGATTGTGCTGAAATAAAAGCAACGTCGCGAGAATGTTTCAATCGAGCTACGAGGAAGCTTTATAACAGGGTGAACTATATGTCCGCTACTTCCCAGCTGCGCGGCAATAACGTTAGAATCTCGTACCAAGAAGACGAAAACTGTTTCACCCGTTGCCAAGGCCATAGCGTCAGTTGCTGAAGATGCAGGCAAAAGTCGAAAACGATGAATTTACGAGTAGTGTGGCAACTTATTGTAGCGTCCGAACGTGGAAGTAAAAAAAGTATTGCATTTGGCTAAAAAGAAAATCCAGTTACACAGAGACATCGCACCAGTTAATACTACTGGGTGGCGATGGTCACAATCAAAGAATTAACTTTTAAGTTATTTTGTTCTGTCGCTATTCAGCAAACGTAACCTACTCGGATAGAAGAAAACGGCTCGATTTGACGATTTGACATAATAAAGAATAAAGAAGAGGTGAAGCCTGCAACTTATGGTTAGTGTGAACACCTAAGGTATTATTAAAATAAATAAGGACGTCAGACCTATTGAAGACGGATGTATCAAGCTAAAGGCAGATTAGGTTGGAAAATAAAAGTTGTTTTGTTTATTAATTCCGGGACGGGTAGGTGTTAAAAGCCTAAAAGTTGCACATATCCTGGTGTTGTAACCGGTCACCACACGTAGGAGCTTTTGACTGTGTTTTCTTATCATGGATTCCGCGGACTTATATCAAATTTGGGATCTTGCGCACAATGAATCGTAATAATGATAAATTACAACCGTGCTACAAAACAAATAAGAGGATTATGTTCGGCCGCGACCGAACCTTTTATATCCATTACCGTTATCTATCTACATTTACTATCCAGGTTTTTTATTCGATACCGATTCGGTGGGGATTATGGAGGCAAAATTAATTCACCACGTCCCGCCAGCGATATTTAATTTAGAGTAAACACACCTAGTTCGTCGTCTTTTGCTCTTCAAGTTCTTTTATATGATACACAATTGATTATATTGATAAGAAAAAACGAATCCTCAACTTTGTGGGGTCCACCATTTATATCTATTTTAAAATTGATCCATTTTTAGACAGATAATATATATCGTCAAGTGAAGAATGTACAGAATAATTTTCAAAATTATGTCTCGGTTACCTTATGAGCAATAAGCAGAAAATGTAAAAAAAATAAGGAAACAAAAATTTGACCAGTTATAACTTTATGTGGGCGTGGCGGATTTTCTCCAATTTTTATATAGATAGTAAGGACCGCCATAAATTAAATAAAAAAAATTTCATGCTTCTGCCTTTCATAATTTGCGAGTAATTTTCGCTCGGAGAGACAGATTTTATGGGCGTCTGGTCACATATTCAATACCAACCTGGCTGTAAAAAGTTCCAATGCTTTTGCCAAATTTAAAGCCGATAAATTCATTTTGACGAACCGACAGATAGACGGACATACGGGCTTACTTAAACCGGTTTAGAATTTAATGCTGGTCAAGACTATCTGTATTTTATGGGATCAATGAAACATGCTTTTCGGTGTTGCAGACAAAATGAACATACTACCCGTCCTTCGATGACAGGTTGAACAAGATTGTTAGGTTCAGATGTCCATAAAACGAAAATGCCTGTGGCTAACTTCAAGGGTCAGGCTAATAGCAAGCGTCTAAGTAGAAACTGGCGTCCGCCCTCTTGTCCACGAGACAATAAGATGTTCTCGAAGCCGTATGTAAAATTCTTTTTTTCTACTTGGCAATCACGGCTAGTTGACATTTTTGAGGTTTGTTCACATATATATATATATATATATATATATATATATATATATATATTTGTTTATATATATATATGTATATATATATATAAATATATATATGCCTGTATATATTGTGTGAAAACTGTACAAAACTCCGTTCATGTGAAGTACGCACAAATGAAAAAATTCATAAACAAAGCAACC